AAGCAAGGGGAGAAGAAAGGGTTAGCATTAGGGATGGTACTTGGGGAGTGAAACCAACTATACACAAAACACTGAATATAAAACAAATTCTGCTCTGTAAATTTGCACCTAAAGCACAATAAAAAAATAAAGACCAAAGCATGATGTCACATAATTATGTATGGCTAAAAATCCACTCTAAATGCAAGTGAGACCAGTATATGTTAATATAACAGTACAAAATGTTTATTAATGTGGTTTGAGTCCTCATTGTAACTAATCTTTAAGAAACTACAATTTGTCAAATTTTGGTAGTATCAAAGAAGTATATTGACAATTATCTGGAATGATATTAAAATCTTTTTTCCCTTAAACCAAAAATATCCCCTGAAGTCCTCTTAAAATCAAATAATAGTTAAGATTAACTAGAGAAGAATGTCTGCCTTGCACATTGTGTTCTTTGAAGATCTATGTGGGATCAAATTGATAACAGCAACTCAAAAGATTAGCTAGGAATCTTAGGGGACAGTGAGTTTATGTTAATGGGAGAGAAACCACTCAGAAAAGGAGGGTGAGAATGGTTACACAACTCAAAGAATGTAATCAATGTCACTGAATTGTACATGTAGAAACTGTTGAATTGGTGTATGTTTTGCTGTATGTATTCTTAACAACAAAACAAGTAAAATAAGCTATATACAAAAAAAATAAAATGGGTATGTCAATTAAGCCTTGTTTAACATCTGCTTCCAGAATGTAGTTTAAAGAGGGAATAAAGGGAAGTCTAATAAATTCCCATCAAGTTTTCACTTGCCAATTTTTGTCATTGTCCTGGAAGAAATGCAGCCAGAATACTTCTTGGAAGCGAGAATGACCAGACTTCATTTCACCTACTTTGTTTGTGTTCTCAGAAGGGACCATTCCCTGGAGAAGGGTATCATGCCTGATAAAGTAGAGGGTCAGCAAAAAAGGGGAAGGCCCTTAACAAGATGGACTGACACAGTGGCTACAACAATGAGATCAAATATAGCAAGGATTGAAAGAATGGCACATAACCAGGCAGTGTTTCATTCTGCTCTACATGAGGGCGCGGTGACCTGGAACCAACTCAATGGCTCCTAACAATAACAACAACAGTAAATTCACATAGACAATATACATCTAACTTTGCCTCAAATATCTATAGTCTCAAACAGTGCTTCTACATAAACCTATAATGTGCTTTCAGCATGTTGGATAGTTTCCTTCTATTTCTGAGTAAATGCTAAGAAACATCTTGCAGTGGGTCAAATTGGCTTCCAGCCCTTTGTACCATATTTGTCAGAAATACTAAAATTGCATTTTTGGTCATTCTAGGATGATGATTTAATCCCGAAATCATTGGTTACACCAGCAAAGAAACCTGAAAATGTAGGTCAATCATTACTTGAGCCTCTGAGATTCAGATAAAACTTAATTAAAATTTCAATTCTAGATATGGGGAATTTTGAGCCTTCCAAACAAGGCCCAAACCTTACTTTCTCAATTTTTGAGATCTCTTCTCCTGACTCTACAACAACTTCTCTACTGCTCCCCTTATCAGATAGATTCAGATAGATAGAATCCATCCCATTGGACAGTTTGAGTCTTATTCCTTTACAAATTCTGTGAGGAATTCAAATGTCTCTATATTTGTGTGAATCAGAAATTTTCCTGAACATTTCTTAAGTAAAACAGAAGAATCATGTAAGGCATATTCCTTTCTCTCTGATCCCTTCCCAAAAAAGCACTCCTTCTTTTGTAATATCTTCACTGCATGTGCACTTCCCTCTCTGTGCTGGCCGCTTTGCCTGATGGGAGTAACCATACCACAAGATCTGCATTTCCCCAAATCCACTTTTCTCCATCTGCTCACAAATTTATATATTTTTATTTGATTGAGACCATAATTTATATATAAATATATTTATTGTTCTTCTGAAATATGTTTTCACTAAATATTGTTGATCATTATCGTTCTTTTATTATTTGTAAAATTCAAATGGACAGAATTAAGTTTATTCAGAGATAGGAAGAATATCAGAAAAGTTATTTGTGAAATTCAAGTGCACAGAATCAAATTGATACTGTTCAGAGGGAAGAAAAATACTATCAGAAAAATATACCACCTCTCTCTTTTTCTCTCTCTTTCCACCACTGTCCTAACACTTAGTCTCAAGGGCACTGAGTAGTTTAACTATAGAGATTTATTGTGTTTATGAGACAAAATTTCAGAATTAAGTTATTCCAGTATGAATTAGCACTCAACTGTATCAGCTTCTATGTTGACTTCTCCGCAATTTCCCCTGCTTTCCCTCAGAGTCACACAATGGCTGCAGTAGCTCCCAGAGTCATGCACTCACAAGACAATATCCAACACAGGAAGGAAACAGGAAAGAGTTTTTCCTCACAAACCTGTCTTATTGGAGATGAACATCTTTCACAGATCTCATCAGGCTTCTCTTCTGTTCCCAGGGCCCACAATGGTTAGTCACCAAACCTGAAAGGGAAACCATAAAACAAGAGTCTAGCATTTCTGGTCTCTCTATAAAGTGGCAAGTTCTGCCATTAAGGGAAAAAATGCAGAAAGTCATCTTTGGGATAAGCAAACAAATGTATGCAAGTTCATTTGCTGTCATGTGATTATAACACAGTTTAACTGTGATCGAAATGATGATGATTTGGACAGTGACCAGTCCTTTATTATTATAAATGATTCTAAAATAAACAGCCTTGTGTCTACTTATTTATAAGTGTAAGAGTTTCTCTATTATTTATATAATCCACCAGCCACTCCTCGGAAGGAAGGTTGGGCAATCCTACTTCCGTAGTGATACTGCCTCGGAAACCCAAGGAGGGGTCGCTATGAGTCGGGGCCAACTCGACAGCACATAACAACAATATATATATATATATATATATATATATATATATATAAAAGAGATGTACTTACACTTATAAATATATATATTTATGTTGTTGTTGTTATGTGCTGTCGAGTCAGACCTGACTCATAGCGACCCCTCCTTGGGTTTCCGAGGCAGTATCACTATGGAAGTAAATTGCCCAACCTTCCTTCTGAGGAGTGGCTGGTGGGTTTGAACCGCCAGCCTTCTGGTTAGCAGTCAAGTGTCTTAGGCACTACACTACCAAAACTCCTGAACAGATGCATAGGGTTCTTATTTAGCCTTCCTTTAATACAAGGACCTCTGGTAGTATAGTGGATAAGGCATTTGGCTGCTAATCAGAAGGTCAGAGGTTCAAGCCCCCCAGCTGTTCCATGGAAGGATGATGAGGTCAATCTGCTTCTGTAAAGATTTACAGCCTTGGAAACCCAATGGAGGTTGTCCCATTGGAATCGACTTGCTGGCAGTGAGTTTGTTTTTTTTTTGTTTTTTGTTTTTCAGTACAAGAATAGGCTCGAAGACTGTTCAATGATTTAAGAGCTGTACTTGCTGCAAGTGTAGGTGATTATGATGAAGAATTTTTTTGCAAATACAGGGTTATTGTTTCAAAGTGAGAGCAAATTTATATAACATTTAAAGGGCAAGTATGAATTGTCCATAAGTCAGAATTTGTAACCTAAGGGACTTACTGTATCCTTTTATTTGCCTTTTTCTGAGCTGTTTTTCCAATAAGTTTTTATGAGTTCTTTATATGTTCTATATTCTTATCTTTTTTCTGATATATATGTGTGTGTGTGTGTGTGTGTGTGTACCATGTATGAGTGTGTATGTATAAACATATGATGTATACAGTATTTTTTGCTTGCTAAAAGTAAACTCCAGAACAAGGGGAGTTATCCACCTATGTACAGCTTCGCAGGGTCAGAGCAGGCTCATCTTCAGCAATGTGAGCAGTAACAAAAAAAAAAACCTCACTATGTAATTAGGAAAAAACAGTGATGTTAATGCAACAAGAACAACTCCCAAAGCTTATGCTCAGGGCATGGGATTGGCAGAAGACTAACAGCTAAGGATGCCACACCTGGAATGGAAGGAATGCACAGGGGTGTGTGGAGTGATTTCTCTGAGCTAGAAAATCCAGAGGCCGATTAGGAAAGTGGTCTGAATTGGGTAGTGGTCGTTGAAGGTCTTGGGTTCCAGCAATTTTGTAGGTGGAGTCTCCCTACAAGACATGTCATTATCATTTTTAGTTTACCTTCACCCTTTGATTGTAACATCTACCCCAGTTGCCATGGAAACTGATGAGCCAGACTTTATGAGATTGACATTAGTTCAACAGAATAAAAACATTACCCAGAATACAACTGAACAGTGAAGGATTCATCATTACTGGGGCTCTTATTTGAGACTGAAAGAATGAAGATATCATTTAAAGAAGATAAAGAAAGAAATTAAGGGCACTTCAGACAGAAAAAGAGGAAAGAAAAAACAAGCAGGTTTATAAAATGAATACACTTTTTATGGGAATAATCAAACCATCTTAGGATCAAGATTGTACACTCAAGTATTTCCCTGCATCCAGACCTGATAGCACATGAGCAAGCAAAGCATATGTAAATCATACAGACAGGAAAATAGGAAAGTCAAAAATGACCTGAAAAATTTGCATCCAGAAGGAGGTGATGTCCTGCATGAGGCTGTGCTGGGACCAAGCACATGTTCTCTACCTAGAAACTGCTGTAGAGATCTGAGTCCAGGAGCATATTTAGGGGTGGAAGAATGATGTCGATCCAACTCACTGTCTTCTGCATGGTCATCTCTGTGCTCCTTTCTTTGACAATCATTTTGTACGGCAACTTAACTGTTGCAGTGCTGGACAGGAGTGAGTGCAGGTCAAAAGACTGTCACCCATGGACATGATACTTATCAGTCTGGACATTACTCACGTCTATCTACAGTGGGCATCAATGTTGAAGAACTTTTACTCCTGTTTTAATCCTAATTATGTATGTTGGTACTTGGAAGTCATCTGAGATTTTGCTAATACTACCATATTTTGGTTCAACGGCTTGTTTGTTGTGTTCTACTGTTTCACAGTCTCTTCCTTCACCTATTCTATCTTCCTCAGGCTGAAGTGGAAAATTTCAAAACTGGTTCCTTGGCTGATGCTGGGCTCTCTGCTGCTTTCCTGTGTGGCCACCACCCCCTCAACTATTAGGAATCACATCTGGTTTTAGACCACCAGCTCCTTTAGAGTACTTTGCAATGGAAAATTTATCCAAGATATGCACTATGTAGGGGCTTTATAGGCAGTTGAGGAGGATGTAGAAATCAAACTAAAATATAAACAAAAATGATAGTACCCTTACATTGATAGCACCCCATAATTCACAAGAGCTTTTACATACATTTTCTCATTTTGAACTGAAAAGACAGGTCATGATCATCCAATCAAATCTAGTTCAAATACAGACCTAAAAGGCTCAAGTAATTTACTTAAGTTCACATTGCTAATTAATGGCAGATCTAAAGTCAAAGCAAAAGAGAAGGCTAACAAGGAATACATTTAAGAAGGGCAGAATTTTACTTTGGAACAAGATGATTAGGACTTTGAAGGTAAATGCTCAGAACAACAATAGAGAGACATGGGACAAGGAAGATATTTGCAAAGCTTGAGTTAGCTGTATATAAAATGAAGGCACCTACAGGCCATGCATGTGAGTTGTCCAGCTTATGAATAATCTACCCTAAATGATGTTCATTATCCATAAAATAAGGTGGATTGCTGATAACTCAAAAGAAAGGAAAAAAGAAAGAAGATTGTCTCCCTGGATTTTAGGAGAAAATGCTTAGAACTCAATGGGTGGTAGCAGTGAGTTTAGGAGGAGTCATGTGATTGCTACAGTTCAGCCTTGTATACATACATGTTTATGGCATCAAATCACTGTTGTTGTTTGGTGCCATTGAGTCAGCTCTGATGCATAGTGACCCTATGTACTACAGAATGAAACACTGCCTGGTCCTACACTGTCCACAATTCATGTTATGTTTAAGCCCATTGTTGCAGCCCCTGTGTCAGTCCATCTCATTGAGGATCTTTCTCTTTTTCTCTGACCTTCTACTTTACCAAGCATGATGTCCTTTCCAGGCACAGGCCCTTCCTGGTAACACATCCAATGCATGTGAGATGAACTTTCTAAAGCTTTGCTTCTAATGAGCATTCTGGCTATACTTCTTCCAACAAAGATTTGTTCATGCTTCTAGGACTGCATGGCATATCAACATTCTTCACAAACACCATAATTCAAAGTCATTGATTCTTCTTCCTTCTTCCTTATTCATTGCCCAGATTTCACATCCATATGAGATTGAAAATACCACAGCTTGGGTCAGACACACCTTAGACCTCAAGGTGACATCTTTGTATTTTATTTTAACACTTCAAGGGATTTGCTCAATGCATCATTTGTATTCATGCGTGCAGTTTCCACGGGCATTGATTGTGAATCCAAGTAAAATGAAATCTTGCCAACTTCAATCCTTTCTTTATTTATCGTGATGTTGCTTGTTGGTCCAGTTATGAGGATTTTGATTTATGTTGAATTATAATACATACTAAAGGTTGTAGTCTCTGATCTTTATCCGTAAGTGCATCGAGTCCTTTTCAGCAAGCAAGGCTATGTCATCTGTGTATCACAGGTTGTGTTTTGGTCCTCCAGTTCTGCTCTAACAGAAATACTACAAACAGGGGGCTTTAACAAACAGAGATTTATTCTCTTACAGTTGAGTAGGCTAGAAGTCTGAGTTCAAAGTGCCAGCTCTAGGGGCTGGGTGAAAACCCTTCAAACTTGAGCTTCAGCTCTGCTCTTGCTCCCAGCCCAGTGGAGCCGGAGGCTTCTCTTAACTCAGACAGCTGCTGGTTCCTAAGGCTGACAAACCCAACATCAACAAGTAAAATGGCACAGTCCCCAAATTATCAAGCAACAAGTCAGGCCACTAGTTAAGTCCAAAAACAGTCTCAAGATCAGCATACAACATAGCAGTCCACTGAGATGAAAACTCGGCCAAATGCAGGATCCAGATGTGCCAAAAAACTCACAGACCTTTTGCAAATCTGCTGTTTATATATTGGAAGCAGACCACATCGCTAAGGCAACTACTCAGCTGCTCACAGTAGATTCCACCATGGAGTTGATTACCAGTCTTATCATGGGGAATAACTACATCCAGCTGCCCAGCCACTCACAACCAGACCCAGCCAAGTCAACATATAACCTTAACTACCATAGGCTGTTAATGAGTCTTCCACCATCCTGACGTTGCTTTCTTTCCCATACTCCAGCTTCTTGGATTATTTGCTTAGCATACAAATTGAATAAGTATGGCAAAAGGACACAGCTCTGACACACACAATTCCTGATTCTAAACTATGCAATATCCCCTACTTCTGTTCAAATGACTGCCTCTTGATGTATGTACAGGTTCCTCATGAGCACAATTAAGTGTTTTGGAATTCCCATTCTTTGAAGTGTTATCCATAATTTGTTATGATTGACACAATTGAATACTTTTGTATAGTTAAAAAATAAACAAAAAAACAGGTAAACATCTTTCTGGTATCTTCTGCTTTCACCCAAGATCTATTTGACATCAGTAATCTCTCACTCCACATCCTCTTCTGAATCTGGCTTGAATATCTGGAAAATCCCTATTGATGTACTGCTGCAATCACTTTTAATACCTTCAGCAAAATTTACTTTTGTGTGATATTGAAGTATTGTTTGATAATTTCCACATTACCACATTATCTGGTAGCATAGTGCCTAAGGCACTTGACTGCTAACCAGAAGGCTGGTGGTTCAAACCCATCAGCCACTCCTCGGAAGGAAGGTTAGGCAATCTACTTCTGTAGTGATACCACCTCAGAAACCCAAGGAGGGGTGACTATGGGTCGGGTCAGACTCAGTGGCGCATAACAAAAACAACAACATTGGATCATCTTTCTTTGGAATGAGCACGAATATGGATCTTTTCTAGTCAGTTGGTATGGTGGTTATGTTTGTGTGTCAACTTGGCTAGGCCTGGTTGAGTGACTGGGCAGCTGGATATAGTATTCCCCATGATGAGACTGGTAATCAACTCCATGGTGGAATCTACTGTGAGCAGCTGAGTAGCTGCCTTTGGGTATGTGGTCTGTTCCCATATATAAGCAGCAGCTTTGGGAATGGTCTCTAGCTTATGGCATGCTTGGACCCTGCACATAGCTGTGTTGTTGTTCAGCAGCCTGCCATGCTCTGCCAACTTTGGGACTTATAATGGACTTAAATTAATGACCTGCCATGTGGTTTGGGAACATCAGAACTGTGCCTTTTTACTTGTCAACCTTGGGCTTTGCAGCCTTGGCAGTCAGCAGCTGAATGAAGAAAAGCCTCTAGCTTCAGTGGGCCAGGAGCTGGAAGCAGAGCTGAAGCCCAAGGCTGAGGTGCTTTCTTGCAGCCCCTAGAGCTTGGCACTTTGAACTTGGACTTAAAGCCTCCAAACTGTAAGAATAAACTCCTGTTTGTTAAGGCCATCCCATTTGTGGTATATTCCTGTCAGAGCAGCACTGGATAACCAGAATAGTTGGCCAAGTAGCTATCTTCTAAATTTCATGACTTAGAGAAATTAGTACTTCCAGCATTGCTTCCATTTGTTGAATCATCTCAGCGGGTATTCCATCAATTCCTGGAACCTTGTTTTTTGCCAATTCCTTCAGTGCATTTCCACTTATTCCTTCAATACCATTGGTTTTTGATCCTATGCTACCTCCTAGAGTGGTTGCCCTAGTTATCTAGTGCTATTATGATAGAAATGCCACAGGCAGATGGCTTTAACAAACAATTTTATTTTTTTCACAGTTTCACAGTTCTAAGGTAAGGATTTCTTTCTCAGTGGGCTCTGGAAGAAGTTCTTTTGTCTCATTTCATGCCCATTCCTGCATGATCTTCACGTGGCTTGACATCAATCTTCCCTCTCTCTAGGAGGTTCTCCGCCCCAGAGATCTCGAGTCCAATGGGTGTCTTTGTTCCCGGCCCTTTGTTCTTGGTAATAGTAGGTCCATCCTTCTATGCTCACTTTGATCTCCTTTTATCTCTTGTAAGATAAAAGGTGATACAATCACATCCCAGGGGAACTTCCCTTACTTCAGATCATGACTGTTACCTGAGTAAGGGTGTTGCATCCCACTCTAATCCCCTTACAATTGATTGGATGACCACATCAGATCATGTTATGACATTGTTTATATCGTTACATAACTTCCAAACCACTGAGAATTATGGCCCAACCAAATTGACATAAATTTTAGTGGACACAATTCAATCCATGATGAGAGTTGAACATTGACCAATTATTTTTAGTACAGTGACTCTATGGATTCTTCCATCTTCTTTTGATGATTCCTGTGTTGTTCAGTGTTTTGTCCATAGAATTCATCAATATTGAAACTAAAGACTTGAATTTTTTCTTCAGTTCTTTCAGCTTGAGAAATGCCAACCTTGCTATTTCCTTTTGCTTTTCTAACTCCTGATCTTTGTACACTATTGCAAACCATTGTTGTTGTTGTTATGTGCTGCCGAATCGGACGCGACTCATAGTGACCCCTCCTTGGGTTCCGAGGCAGTATCACTATGGAAGTAGATTGCCCAACCTTCCTTCTGAGGAGTGGCTGGTGGGTTTGAACCACCAGCCTTCTGGTTAGCAGTCAAGTGCCTTAGGCACTATGCTACCAGAGAATTCAACCCTTCATCCTTTACACTGTACCCCAGGAGCTTAATGAATATCTTGTGATGAAATGCCTGCTACTATCTGGCATGAAAGGTGTTTCTGATTAGACACATAATGAAATGTATTCATTAATTGCTGTTTTCTCTCCTCCCTCCCCCATTCCTACTGTTCAGGTTACATTGGTTCAAATATTTCACTTGTACCTTTTTTGCCTGTTCCTGAGCTTGGTATTCAGACTCACCCAGATCTGCCTCTGAATCACCTCTCCAGACTTAGTACCCAATGATTTCCAACATGAACCCAAGCATTTGTATCAGACTTAGGTGTTCCTTGTTGCCTAAATATTCATGTATAGTTCTACCTCCTCACATTTGCTGCTGCAATCTACCTTTCCTTTTCTGTATTCCCTTGTTTTGGCCTGGGACAACTATAAAAGGGGTAAAGAGGGAAAACCCTACCTTTATCATTGTTT